GAATTTATGCGGATTGCATTGCGTCTTTGTGAAGGATGTGATTTTGTGCTAATGAAATCGTATAAATGGCACACTAAAAATCTGATTCGTAACGATAAGCAGTGAATCAAATCCAATTAGTATTTGTTCGATATTGAATGTGAACGATCGTTAGTGAAGGTTCTTTTTTAAGGGTATGAAAATAGATAAGAATGGTCATATTGTTGTGGATGATTATCAGAATACTTCACTGAAAGGCTTCTATGCGCTCGGTGACGTTTGCGGGAAATATATGTTGACACCAGGTAATTTTTCATTAACCATTAAATTTTCGTAAATTTCCAGCGATTAATTGCTTGCAATAGAATAGCACATTTCGCTTACGATTAGTGCATAGTTTTATAGTGCTTAAGTTTTCGTTGTTGATTATCGACTGGTGATGCATTAAAGGAAATTTTTAGTGGCTATTGCGGCTGGACGTCGCTTGGCTCATCGACTCTTCAATGGTGAAACAGAGAATCATCTATCGTACGAGAATATTCCAACAGTGGTGTTCAGTCATCCAACCATTGGCACAGTAGGTCTAAGTGAAGCGGAAGCAGTGAAGAAATACGGCAAGGATCAGTTGACAATATATCGGTCGAAGTTCAATCCGATGTATTTCGCAGTAACCGAGCATAAACAAGCGTGTACGATGAAGATGATCTGTGCGGGCAGCGAAGAGAAAGTGGTGGGTTTGCATATAATCGGTGAGGGCAGTGATGAGATGCTGCAAGGATTTGCTGTGGCCGTACAAATGGGCGCTAGAAAACGAGATTTCGACAATACGGTAGCAATTCATCCGACCAGCGCTGAAGAGTTGGTGACGTTGCGGGGTGGAAAGAAACCTGAATGAAGAGCATAATTTTTGGAGAGCATTATTCATCGTAAATGATGAGTTTGTTTCTGGATTTAGAATGGTTATCACGGAAGTATTGTGATTTGTAATCGTGCATGGTGTTAGTTCTGATGATAGTATTGCTGTTCTGATTACAGTTATCGTCTTTATTGTTGTTACTTTTGTAGTTTTGATAAGTTATTGTTTATGTTATTCATTAGCATTGATCATGAGCTACGGTTGTATGACTATCACTGCTGATGCTGTTCGTTTGCGATATTGTTAAGGTGTGATCGATATTTATTGCTGAGATTAACAGTTTGCAATCATTTTGATAGATTAAACAAAGCGTTTAATCTTATGAATTGTACGCTGTTAGCATTTGTTGTAGGTTGCTATTTGAGCTTATCGACGGTTGTCATCTGTTTTCGATTGAATCCTCCTTGTTTTTGTTAACGCTAAATTGTCTTGATCTAGTCTTGTGAGACGACACTTCTATCGTTTGAAATCTTAGTTTGATTGTGTTATAATTGTTCCTGAGTGTGACACAATTGAATTGTTCTTAATGTCGTATTGCATTTTATATTCTTCTTTGCGAGTGATCCAATTTGATTGTTGTTAATGCTTTCATAAATATTAAAACTGAATTCGTGTTCGAAAACATTAATACAAATGAAATATGCCTTTCTTTAGTCTGTTTACGTGCAAGATCTAGGCGTGTTGTTACAGTGGTGACAAATTAAATGAGATTAGCGAGATCAAAACATATTTATAAGAGTTCCGTCGAATTTTGCTAAAGCTATCTTAGACATGTTTGTAAGGACAGATTTTCTCACACGAATTGAAGACGCATTATATTTGCGTGATATCCCGAAATTTCATGTTCTTCTCGGTTTAAACAAGAACAAATCGAAATTTAATGGAGAAATCGAGATGAATTTTCTGCGTTCGACATCAATTCATCACTGTAAAACCATTGGAAAGGTTTGAGAATTATCTGGACGCATGTGCTCAATGAATACAAGAAACGTGCAGAGGTAAATTGAGGTTTAATTGAGGATTACGGCGTTATAGCAATACTGAACAAAACAATAAAATTTCATTTAAGTGTTACTCTCAAAAAATTGATCTGCTGCAAGCAATTGATCACTTCTGTACGGTTGGAATAAGTCGCTTCTTGAACGCATCAATTGATTCGTGTAACAAAACAGAACGAATACGAACAAATAAACGATCAAAGCCATCAATGCTTCAACGAAAACGATTAGTTTAAGCCAGTCCAGCATTTTCAACGGCGGTACTGCTGTTGTTGGTAACGGTATGTGTGATACTGTAGAGTGCTTGATTCGTTGATCAAAGATTTCTCGATAGCTGATTAGGTGACAAATTGTCGCGAGAAAAGTTGATTGGTTGAAGTGAAATCCCCTGAATGAGACAGATATGAAGCACTTAGACGCTATCGTACAGGGCGCTTTTCACTTTGCTGACAATGAGCTTGAAAGAGAACAAAACTCAGGTAACCGGAACTCCTCAACGTAATTGCAGAAGATTTGCACTGAAGATCGCGGCGCGGCTCGAATGTAATTAAATCAAATTGTGATCCCTATTTTAATGATGGGAATTTCGTTTTTTGAATCTTTGCAAGCAACCCATGAGAAATGGATCAATCTCATTCGAAGTATACTGAAATTACGAGTTCAGCGACTAAATTAATGAGTGCAAAACCCTCACAACTGATTCTAAGTTATACTAAAGTTAGGTTCTAGCAGCAGATATCAAGCAAATACTTTAAACTAACCGTTCAAGAAATTATCATCAATGAGTAAATGGTAATTATCTGTGAATAACGATTAGATATGATCGAAAAGTAGATGCGAAGCAGTTGAGCGATGCAAAATCTAATTGTGAGGAAATAAGTCTGTAAGAAGTTGGGATATTTAGTCTCCAAAAACATTCTAATTTGGTGCTTATGTTGTTTCATTAGTGATAATTTCCCTAGTGACGTTTAGTGCTAGTGATCCTTTAATTTCTAGTACTTTGAGAAGTAATGTTCTGTGAGTTGGTTTTTCAGTATGAGATGATCATCATATTTCGTAGGTTCACATGCATTTGAAAAAAGCATGTCAAAAAATGGTGTTTTATCAAGGTTATCATTCTTTTCCGAGCTGTTAAAATCGCTCTCATAGCTTTTATCACCAGAGCTGTTCTCTTTTGCTATTTTCTCATTCATTTCACTCAACAATTCAAGTCAATTTCTCGTTCTATCAAACACACTCTATAATTGATTATTTGACTGTCGAACGTTGTTGAGCAATTCAATTCGATTGCTGTATTGTTGATTTCGGTTGTCAACAATCGTCAGTAAATAGTACATGCTACAGAATAAGAACTTGTGAGATGAAATGAGACGAAGTGAATGAGATAAACTCATCAAGAGAACGGTATTCGCATGTAATAGCTACGAGAGTGAATAGAACACGTCTGAAAAGAATGAGAATCCATCTGAATCAGTCTGAATTGAGCGTGTCAGAAACAATAGCTCTTCATATAATCATGATCGATTTCAATATTCAGGAACTGAGCTCTCTAGACGAAGGCTTAGCAATGTCGAACACCATCACAATAGCGTAATGCGATACTTACCTGAATACGAAATTCGTGATACCTAACCGAACTGCAATCAATTCGATCAAAATATGATTTTCTATAAGAGTTTGTGATGCATAACCCATCCCAAGAAGTTGATATATAATCCATTTCGAAAGGCTGGGGTATGTTTGCAATCCTTTCTTGAGAGGATAATGACCAGCAGGGATGACAACGAGAGCATTGCATACTATGTTTGATTTTTTTTCTAATATTCTGCGAGCTTCGTTGAATGGAGTGATGTAACTAATGATGTCCTACTGTTATCAAAATCCTACTGTTTATTCAACCTTAGCAATTCAGATGTTAATTGATTAAACATCAAGGAATAAATGAAGGCATCGGTTCGTTTTGTTGTCAAATATACAGATGAGGACATTCTTTGAGGGGATCAGTCAATTGCAGAGGTTAATTGACTTGAGTTAAACATTCAATGAATTTCTCGTTTCCTTACCAAGAGAATTCATCTAGTTCATTTAATAATTAGTTAGTCATTATGATACCAATTGTGGCCGGTTTACTGATCATGTTGCTTATTACTGACGTAATGATAATTTTATAAGAGTAGAAATGTAAATATACATTAAATTTGCAATATCAATGGCTTGTAATACTGCTTAATCGTTTCTGCTATGGTTTTGCGCAGTACTCTGTTACAGAAACAATCTACTAGCTGTATTCATAAAATAAAAAGTGAATTTGATGAACTGATTTCTTTTTGGATGGAATCTATCGGTGGGACGAGTGAAGAAATTAGTTAGAGAAACTGTTATGCCGTTATTTATACATTATATTAGGATAATTTATTGATGTTAAAATGTTTTGGAGATAAAGAAGAAACGAAAACTATTTATGAAATAACAATATTGTTGCATTAATTTGTTAGAAAGAAAGTTAGGCAATTCAGACATTCTTCAATATGTTTTTACAAAGAACATCGATCGAGAAGTTGTGATAAAAACCTTAGCGAATTCAACACGAAATGTTTAACGGATTCATTTTTCTATCAGTTTCTAAATCCGTTTGGTCTGATCATCTATAATCACTGGTAGCAAATTCGAATTTATTTTTTTCATAACTTGAGCAATAGCTTCTGAGCTATTGCATTTGATGATCTCAGATAAGTCTTTGATCTCATTCCGATAATAGCTATGATCTGGAATCACCTTTCATTTGGGGCATACTAGTACTCGACGAGGGCAAAAATAAGCTTGCTTAAGCTTCCGGCTATTTTTTACTTTGCAGATGAATCTGGTTGTATTCATGCTATAATTGCTTCGCTTACTATCAACTTCTGCTGTGGATTGCTAATCCCATCTTGAATTCAATCAAATCATCACGTTCGTTCCGACCTATTTAAATTCAGTCGAGTCTTTTCCCAGTAAACATCTTAATTCACACCATTCCACGTCATTTCGTTCCTCCTTTCATCACAAGAGGTTGATGGCCACTCTATAAAATCTGCTATGTAAATAAAGCGAGCAGTGATTTCACATAATGACTATTCTTTGCTTCCTTCAATTTGGTTTGTGCATTAAAAGCGCTCTCATGTGAAATGAGCGGATAAGTCCACTGTTCAAGAGTCCCATTTATAAATCGGTAGTTCATTCATCTTTTTTCTATTTATACACATTATTAAGTGAACAAATGCAGGTGTTCAAATGCATGCAGGTGCTTCGAAGTTATCATATCGTTCGAAGAAATCCGATTATCGTTATCGTTTCCTAAAATCCATATAGGTTCCATTTTCAACACTGATCTGCGATGATCAGCGGATATTTGATCCTGCAGGAATTCATTAGATAGAAGGAGTACGTACATCCGCCGACTGTTGGACTAATTTCAAAGCTAGTAAACAAATCGAACAAGTGCTTGCTTAGCGGTTAGGTGTTAACTCCTTGTGATTAGATTAATCGGCTAACAGGCTAAGACAGTGATGGATGAATGTTCACGTATGGTTTTGATATATATTGTGTTAGTTAATCATCGATCAAACCAATACCACGACGACGACGACGCATCACTTCTTCAACAACAGTAATCATTGTCTTTGTATCGTATCGTGTTCATCTCTCATCGCCGTCATTTGTTCGTATATCTCATTGATCCGTTCGTTCATCTCGTACACGTTCACTCTCTTCGATATGACACGAGTTTAAATCCATCCATTCCACTAACAACCACTATGATGAGGATAACGTATAAAAACGATAACAATGAAGATATAGCAGCAGTAGCAGTACGCTAGCAACTAGGAACTAAGATCAGAGCGTTCAGGCGAAGAAAACACCAACGAAGAAAGGAAGAAGAAACACTGAACACATTTTGGTCGCAGCATCCTCATAATTAACGATCTTCTTCATCGTAACGCA